GATAGATTAAAAAATTTTATTATATGGATTAAATATATAAAATTTTAAAAAAAATTTAATAAATTTTGATATATATTTTAAATAAATATTTTTTATAAAAATATTAACAAAATTTTTTTGATCAAATTTGAATTAAAAATAATATTTTTAATAATATTTTTATATATTATTGATTTTTATATTACATTTTATCAATCTATTAATTTAAAATTTTTATTAAATTATGTTTTATAAATATTTTCACAAATTTTATTCAAAAAATTTTATATAATATTTGTCCCCGTTTAGTATCCTACAATCTTTGTCGAGTTCCCTACACACGGGCTTCAAGCAGTCCATTTCATTACACCAATTATTGTTGGTGAAACAATTTGTCCAATCAATTCAAATATCATTACATCACAAGCTGCTCCTAGACAAGTGCCATCAATCTAACTTAAAAAAAAAAACACAAGTGGACATGAACTTGTGAATAAATTTGCTTAATTATTTGACGATTCTTTTGACAAATCTTAGTGCATGAACATTGAACATCCAATGCAAATGTTTCTGCTACAAGATATAATTGTAAGATATTTTTAACTTAGAAATGAATCCTTCAAGTGGCATTCCTAGGTTCCTGTCGGGGTCCATTCAGATGAAACAAATTGCGACCAAATTCACTCCCAAAATTATATAAACAAATTAAGTTAATGTGTTTCTAATGATTGTACTTGTAATTTTGTTGACCAACTAACCACAAGAGTTAAGGGATTACTAGCATTTTAGCTGCCCGTTGCAACGGGATTTCAAGGGTAAAATTTTTTATTTAAATAAGCTTTAATTTATTAATTATATTATCCGTAAATTTTAATATATGTGAATATCGATATAATTATATTTCGTTAATAATAATTCTATGCATAATGATATTTTTAATAATAAAATAAAACTAAAATTGAAAATTAAATATTTTAAAAGTGATTATTCATAAATTAAATAATTTATATCATGAATGTATTTATAGGCGTAATTAATATATTTTTTATTTTTTAAAACATGTTTATTTTTATTAATAACTAATATGTGTATATTAATACTCCAATTATCAGAAAATGTATTAGTTATTGTTTACATTATCAAATTATTCATTCGCATCATACTTTGTTCACATTTTTTAAATGATTATATCTAAGTATATTATATTTGTAACATTGTATATCTTTATATAAGATTTAAAATCATGTTCACAATATTTATATACTGATAATTAATATTAATAAAATATTTTTATTTTTATTCACATTAATTATATTACAGTTTATATGATTTTTTTATTCATTCATTAATTTTTTCAATGAAATCATTATTTAATTTACTTACGTAATCAAGATTAATAGGAATTTTAAAAAATATAACTTAATTTTGTTTAAAAATGATATTTTTAAAACATTCAAATAACTATTTCTATTATTTATTTTCCTCTCTCATTTTTTTTTCTGTTTCTTTCTCTTTTCCTTTCTTTTCCTCCTTTATTTTCTTTCTCTATGCTTTATCCATCCAAAGAATAAAAAAATAATTTAGATAAGCAATTGGACATCTTAACTGTGACCTGCTTTTTAATTAAGAAATTTAATTGTATGCCATTGATTTGAGATTTCACTTGTTTCCTAATAATAATAAGAATTTAAAATATTATTCAGGTGCCCTTTGGTTCATGCATCTTCTCTATTGAGCCCCCAAATCTCATTGCATCATCAGCTGCTTCTTTAGAAATGTCGCTAATCCACTTTTAAAAACACTAGTGGGCATTAACTATGATTGAAGTTACGATTAACTTTGCTTAAATATTTAACAATTCTTTTCGACAAATCTAGTCCAGATTGATTTATTTGGCATCTTAGTGCAGGAGCATTCGATCAAATGTTTCTGTGCTAGATGTAATAGGAACTTTGGATTTGTATCATAGAAATGAATCCTTCAAGTGGCATTCCATGTTCACGTAAGATAAATTTGATAATTTTAAACATGATATAAAAATTATATAAAAAATATATAAAAATAATATGATTTAAAATTTTAATAAAAATTACATATAAAATTAATAAAAATTAAAAAATAAATTTTATGTTTAATCATGTATTGATAAAAATTATAATACAATAATTTTTATATTTTACATATGTTAATCATAAAACAAACATATATTAATATATAAATTATTAAATCTTATCAAATCCATTCAGATGAAACAAATTGTGACCAAATTCACTGCCAAAATTATATAAACAAATTAAGCTGACATAAACGTATATAAATTATCTTTCGATAATGATTGTATTTGTAATTTTGTATACCAAATGACGACAAGAATTAAGAGATTGTTTGAGATTTGGATCGTTTCCAAATAATAATTTAAAATAATTCAAGTGTTCTTGACCAAGGACCCACCTTGATCGTATTGACGTATGTAGGAATAGATTTGGTTCATGAATCGTCGCATAGTACTGAGCTCGCAATTTTCAATTGCTTTCCCACCTACCCATGAATTCTCAATCCATAATTGGACTTCAAAACAGTAATTACCTTTATAATATTTAACCTTTTATTATTGTAACTGTAAAATAGTAATTTTTTTAAAAAAATAGCTTTATTTGAAACTGATCTATTGATGAATGGTTAAAATTATTGACAAAGATTCAATTTTTAATAATTTTAAATATTAAAATAATTAAACATGTTTTAATTTTTGTTCAAGTCTAATATTAAATGATATAAAAAATACATTCTCATATTGTCACCACTTCAATAATGGGATAATAGACTTATTACGTGACGTGAAATTCATGTACAAAGATGAACGGTTTATAGGTATATAACACGTCTATTATTAAATTTTAATATGAATATTTAATTTAAAATAAATTGATAATAAAAAAAATATTTATTATATTTACGTGTTTAAGTATCTTAATACAACTGATATAAGATTTTTTTTATCACACACTTTGATGCTTTTTTTTTTTTTTTTTTTGCTTTAATTTTAAGAGGCTAATTGAACATTCAAACAAATATAGTTCCACTTACATATTGCTAGAATGAGCCTTTGAATTGATCGTAGGACATTGAATCTTGTCTTGTAGTCAAAAGATGAAATATATATGTCGAGAAAAGGAGTGGAACAATTATATTTTTTTTAGGGGAGATTGTACGTACTAAATATTTGTTATTTTTTACCCCAAATTCTATCAAAATTAAATTCAATTTTTAAGGGAGGCTTCAAATCTGAGTTAATAGGTCATCATAGAGTCTCACTGGGTTTATCTGGTTTTCTTTTCAAACCCATGTACATTTTAAAACTGCTAACCTGGTGAGGAGTTCAACTTAAAAAAAAAAGTACTGGCAGATAATTACATGCGCGACAAAACGTCTAAATCTTGTGAGAATATGTCTTTAATTGGTTTGATAGCGTACACACGATAAAAACGTTAATATATAGTTTAATTAATTATAATAATTAGATTTGATGATTTGTATATTTATATTATATAAAATATTAAAATTTATATATTTATATTATATTTTATATGTAAATTATATATATTATAATTTGTATTATTATAAAAATATGAATTATATTTTTTGATTTTATTAAATTATATATAATTATTATTAAAATTTTTAAATTACATCATTTTTTTAATTATTTTACGTTATATTATTGTGTTATATTTTAAATTATTAAATTTATCAATATATAAAAATATATATGTTTATATTTATTCTTGGTCATTATATGAAAAGAGGGAAGCAGAACCAATAAGGATGGAAGCAGATGCTAAACAAGGTAATTAGATTTATGGCTAAAAATATTTGAAGAATATCTGAATATTTAATGGTAGAGGTATGAATTCTCTTACTTAAAGAACGGTTTCAAATTTTTTTTTCCTTTAAATAAAAAAGTGATATAGACTATGAGTGTATTTTTTTGGGGTTTTCAAATATGATGTTTGAATCCTAATCGAAAAAATAAAATCGTTGGCTAAATTAAAATTTGTGTTATTATTTTGTTTTAATTTAAGTAGCATAAGAATTTTTTTTTAATAAAAGAGATTATTGGATGTCTTGAAAATAAGAAAATTTTTTTTTAATTGTTCAAGTTTAAAATTTAAATTTATTGAATGTTTTTTTTATTTAATTTTTAAATTTATATTTTATTATTTATCTAATTAAAAAATATTACGAATATAAGTTCATTAAAATTTATAATTTTAAAATATCAATAATATATTAATTAATTTAAAAAATAATTGATATTAAATATTATTTTTTAAAAATAATTATACCAGCATATATGAATAAATTCGAGATTTTATTCTTTTGTCTTTGGCTCTTCCGTAAAGCAAGAAAACAGCAAGAAAGCTCGAAATATATATTTGCCTCACGTCTAAGGCTCTAAGCTATACTTTTAAAACATTTTTACATGTTCCAATTTGCCATGATCAGCTGCATACTCTGAATGAGATTATATATTTTCTCAAAGCACGAGATTTAGTGTTCTTAATAATAATATTCCATTAATGGCCGGTTGGCCTTACGTACGCTACCATCACAAGCGTCCTTGATATAATAATAATAATAATTATTATTATTATAATACCTAATAATTACTCTAATCACCACCACCAAGATCATGATCATATGATCATATAGCAATGACATTGTGATTGGGAACATTCGTTTTAGCAATAAATGATAAATACTTTAAACTAAATTATTGGTACTAAGTTTTAATTAATACAAAATACAAAGATACATGATACATGAACGACATAATAATAATGGGTGTTTATAATTTAAGCTTATTAAAGCAAACCTATATATTGAAAAAGACAATACATTTGCATAAATGCTTTGCGTAAATTAATTAAATAAAATTTAATTTTTTTTTTCATTCGAGAAAATATTAAAATTCTAACTTAAAATTCTTTATCCAAATCTCATTTTTTTTCTTGGTCCAATTAAAACCAAATGCAACACACTAATCCTTTATTTTCATATTTACTATGCATTGATACAAACATCATAGTCATAACATAATAACATAAACAAAACATGAGCTAGGATAAGTACTTAAAAACCCCTAATTAACACATAAACATGATTTATTAGTAGTTTGTTTTGTTTTTCCTCTAATAAGCAAGCTGGCGCTGTTGCTGATGATGTGTCACGAGGTCATCAAGCATCCAAAGGTCCACTGAGTCAGGCTCACCGTTTCCACTCAGCTGAATAGTAGTCTCATCAGGCTCCAAACCCAGGAATGATTCCAGGCTCGAGATTTGCTCTTTCAGCTCCAACTCACTCTGCAGTGCTCCACACGGCCTATAAACTTCATTTTCATACCCAAAACCCATATAGGGTTGGGGCGTTCGTGGGGGTGGTGAGCCAGTGGTCTCAAAACTCGCCTGAGTCGACTCAGGAGAGATGCACCTTTTCTTAGCAGGAGGCTGAGTTGGGGTTGCAGCTTCAGCTGGAGCTCGAGGGAAGTTGAGCTTGGCTTTGTCTCCACGGATGCGCTTCGCGGCTTCATCGTAAGCTCGAGCTGCTTCTTCAGCTGTGTTATAGGTACCAAGCCAGACTCGGACGCCTTTGTGAGGGTCTCTAATCTCAGCTGCCCATTTCCCCCATGGCCTTTGCCTGATTCCTCTGTAAACATTCTTCCGTGTCCGCTGAGTCTTTCCCTCTTTTTCTGTGACTCGGTTTGTCTTCTGGGTCCTCTCGCTAGTCACTAAAAAAGAATAGATAAAAACACAATCTTTCCCTTTCACCAATCAATTACAATATCAAAATAGCTGATTTTGGGCAATTTTTGCCAACAAAACCAAAACTTTAGCAGAAAAAAAAGCACCAATTTTCTTTTACATGAATCAACTGTAACAGCGAAAGTTTCAATTTTCTAGAGTTGGTAGGCAAAGCTGATTTCTTTACCAACTAAACTAGAATATTTCAGCTTCAAGATCATGCATGAAATGAATAAAAACAAAAAAAAAAAAGAAGAAGAGAACACAGAAGCAAAATCTTACCTTTGTGAAGTTGCTTTCCTTTTGAACCGACCTTGTTGTCAAAAAAGTCTTTGCCATTGTAGTCCAAACCTAACAGGTCCGAGAAGGTGTCCAGTTCAGACCAAAGGTCTTCAGCGGTCAAGTTCCGAACACGCTTCACAGCAATGAAATCAGATATGATTGCACCACCACACATCTTTCTCAGAGAGTTTCAATGTTTATGAACAGAAGAAATAGACCAGACGAAGAGGGAAAGTTTTGGCTTTTGGGGTCTCGGATTTATAGAGCGACGGTTACACCCAATCTCTGACGAAACAGACAAATTGGCCATTACATTTTGTGGGTTTTCTTTGTTTGTTTTGTCCTGATCCGACGGCTGAGACTGAATCATTGAGGTTGAAATCTAAGGGTGGAGTTTCGAGAGATATGTGGGTAACATAGATTTGGGGAATCAATTTTGGCCGTAGGATTGAGAGGAGTGGTGATGTGTGGGGTCCTCATTTGTGTGGGCCTTGGGCTTTTTATCAAGTGGGGTTACTGGAGATGATTACGTGGCTGTCTGTGGTTGGGAGAGGAAATGACGATGCTGTCTCCGTGTGTGTGGTGTGAGCAGGGCTTTGGTGTAACGCACGTCAGAATAGTACAAAAATTAACTGCCCAAGTGGAGGAAGTCAGGAAGGAGTTCGCATTTGGTTATTTGGAGTGGGGATGTTATCAAATGACACTGGATTTGCCACTTATTTACAATCTTACCTCTCACTTTTTTAGTTTTTTAGCATAACAATTCATGTATTGATAATTCGGTTTTAATCAAATTTATCAATTGAATTGATTTTATTTGGTTTATTAATTAGTTATCAAATTAATTTTAATTAATTATCAAAAATAATTTTTAAAATTTTAAAATTTTTTATTAATTTGATTTTTAAATAAAATTAATTAAAATTTTGATCAACTTATTATAAAACTAAAAATATATAAAATTGCTCATTTCATTTTAAATTATTACAGTTTTTAATTTAAAACTTTGATGTTTGAATATTTTATAAGATGATTTTATTTAATTTGTTTCACATATGAGAAAATAAATTTTTAAATACAATTTAATTTAACATATATTTTATTATTTTATTAATCGAAAAAATTAATCAAATCAATCGAATTAATTTTAGTTTGTTAATTTTTAAAATTAAAAAAATTTATTTTGATTAATAAAAATAAAATAAAATAATTAATTAATTCAATTTTAAATAATTCAATTTAAAATTAACCGAATTGAACTCTTCTATTAACTTGATTTTAATATAGATTTACTTATTTGGACTAGATTACTCGGATCCAAGTTAAGTGTAGATGCATTTTTTTAAGAGTTTTTTTTATTTATATTTAAAAAATTGAATGTTTAAATTTAAAGTTTAACTTAATTAGTTTAATTATTTTTTTAAAAACAATATATTTAACATTTAAATTTCAATATTTATAATTATTTTTTATTTTTAAATTGTAAAAAAAAAAAATTAAACGTCTATAACTATCAATGTAATACTTGTGATTTCTCTTATACTCGTAATTTCATCAAAGCAAGTTATTAACAAAGTTATTTAAATGCGAACATCGCAAGTAAATGTATTAATAAGAACATGTGATGAGTTAATAATTCTTGTGAAATAACTGTAACTCTATAAGATTAATCAGATGATACAAAAATAGCTAGGATAGTTTAAAAGTTATGATGGAAAAGAGCAGCAAGTCTGAATTTCAGTAACATCGAAAGAATAAGAACAATTTGATTGGTCCAAAAAATATCTGCTTGTAGCAGGATAAACCAATTGCGAGGGCAAGAATCTGGGAGCCAGCCCATGGATTAGGGCTTGAGATTAATCAAGAAAAAAACCATTGTAACAGCTTGTAAGGGACCATTCATACAGCAGGAATACTGCAAGCTTTGTAATTTTAAACATGACAAAAAACAAAAAATAAATGGTTTAAAATTTTAATAAAAATTATATATGAATTTGATAAAAAATAAAAAATATTTTGTGTTTGATTTGACAATATGAATCAAGATATGATAATTATTATATATATATATATATGTATGTATGATCAATGGAGGCCGACAGACAGAAGTGATAAGGGGTTAATGTTGGGTATTGAATATTTATTCATATTTTCTTGTCTTGAAAAGAATGATGGTGATAAAAGTTCATGCAGATGGGTATTGAATTTTTGCATCATCTTCCAGGAAAAAGACCAAAAACAGATGCAGCAAAGCAGGCTTTTAGGAAACAGCTAAGAGAGAGACTTAAAGTTGCAGACAAAAAAATGAGGAATCATATTACAAGCCAAAACTCCTTTCCTCATGCAAACTTTCTGTTTTGTCTTTCTCTGATTTGGTGGTCCTTTTTCCTTTTTTTTTTTTTTGGGGGGGGGGGTTTCACCATATTATAACAGTTGTTTTCTGTACTTCCTGAATAACTTGGACAGGAGGGAATTTATTCGTATCTCTGAATTTGATCACACAAATTAATGACTTCCCAGAGGATAGTTTTTGAGCCAATGGACTTTTTATTCTTTAATGAAGTTGAAAATAGTTTTGGTAAAATCATAAATGAGCTTTTTGCTTCTTTGATGAACTCATTGCTGGAGCTTTGAAATGGGAAACCACAATCATTAACCTTATAGTTTCTCTGTTGTTTTTCTGAGATAATTGAAGGCTAAGCCTCTTTGATCGGTGCAAATAAAACTAAACTTAGATGGAAAAATCAATAAATTATTAACTTAATTAAAGTTCATCTTTTTTAAAGAAAATATTTTATATTCAAATTTTGTGAGTAATTATTTATTAAAATTATTTCGAATATATAATTTATAATTATTTATCTTAAATTATTTAATATGATATATTTTATTTTGATATAAAAATTGAATATTATTTATTTTTAAATTTTATTTTTTACTAAAAAAAATTAACTCGAAAAAATTTGAACTGAATTATATAATTTGTTTGGTTTCGTGGGTAGCTTACAACTCAGGAAATGGTACAATTCCTTCGTACAGAAAGCTTGTTCTTGAAATGAAGCATGGATTTTTGCATTTTTGGAAATATCCTGAGGTGAATCTTGAAAGAAATAGTACATCCCTTCGTTGTTAAGCCATTATTATTACATAACTAGGCTAACAAACAATACAAAAGTACAAACATAGTGTAAAAGATACTTCGTACAATTGTACTTTGTTATTACACATTTTCATCCTGTAATAAGACTGCCACGTTCCCTAAACCTCACGCACGTGCATTGTATTGCAACTCTCCATTCTTCCTATAACTCATGAAAATTTAAAATTTATTTTAATTAATTCATATAATTATTTAAAAATATAAAATTTAGTATTTATAATTTTTAATATTTTTGTAAATTATAAATTCTTAAAAAAAATAAATAATGCCAAACTTGTTAAAGATTGACGGAATCCCACGATAATAAAAAGAAGTAATAATCATCCAAAACCAAAGTCCGCTGCGTGCATTTTTAATTTTTTTAAAGATAAATTATGAAGCTATTGTCTAAATTTTAAGACTTTATACTCACATTGTCTCTTTTTGGTGATTTTGACGCAGATAAAGTTGTTTTTTTTTTTTTTGTTGTGTATTTTTCCCTTCCTATTCGGTGCTCCTTAACTTGAATGAGGTCACGCCCTAACCAACAATTAAAAATGTCATATCCTCATGGAATGTTGTATTTAACAAGTTTAGCAGACAAACTTGATTAGGTGATTCTAGAATTCATATTTGTAATGTCGAATGTGAAAAAAGTCTAGTTTCAAGGAATACAAAAAGAAAAACCTACTGTCTATATATGTTACATGGAATTCGGAATCGAATGTCAGATATGGGTATATGTATGACATGAATTCGTATATTTTGATAATTTTTTAATATTAATTTTAGTGAAATGTTCGAGAACTGTTCATTAGGATAGAATAACAAATGCATTGTACCTCTGCAACAATATTCCCTTAAGATAGTCCTAGTAACCCTACAAGCCACACGGCTACAAAGTAACGAACCATTCTAAAAGCCCATGAGCCCATCAAATTCTGTTAGGCCTTATCATCAGGAGAGTTTAAAATTGAATGCTTCTTCACTTTCTTACCGGCTTGCCACCAAAAGTGTCTTCCAATGGTTTGCTGATTCTTAATTTCTTCATTCATTCGATAGTCAAGTACATCTATATGCAAATCATAAACCATCCATGTAGGCAATTGTCCAGGTCAGTCTGTTTGTTTTCACTTAGGGACCTCGGGTTCAATTTCACAGGTTTTGAAATAGATGGTCAAACTTCATCCATGGGAGGACAACAAATTGCTATAGCATCAGTGGCTATACCAAATGGTCATTTCATCCAATACAATACCACAATTGATCTAAAGCAGCTAATATAAACAGATAATAAGTGCAAACTTGTTGAGAGCAGAGGATTGTATCGTGCTTTCACCTGAAACAACAATGAATTGTGCTTGCCGCATCGTCTCATAATTCCAAGAACATGCTGAGCTCAAGTCTGATAATCAACCATAGAATATTGTTCTAAAAAGTATACAGTAATACACGAAAACATACATGCTGATATTCGATTGCAAATTCCAAAAGCTAAGTATCAAAGAAGAACCATTTCCAATCACAATCAAAACAAGAAATAATAATCAACCAGATCAAACATGTAAAACCCTCTGCAATGTCCCATATATTGAAAGACTGTGTATCTAGGAAAAAAGTTATTCTTCCCCATAATTCTCTTCATGGTAAGAGGGGAAAAGGTGTAGACCTAAATGAAGAAGCTAATTCAAGCAAAAGAATCTTAAAACCTGCTAGTTTGCCATTTTAGCCAAGCGATGGACGGTACTTCTTGCAATCCTGTTACCAGGATCAATCTTCAGAACAGTTCTCAGATCTTCTGCCCCAAGTTTGTATTTCTCCATGCTTTCATACAAGAGTGCCCGCTGTACAAGGACAGACACATTGGTGTCATCATGCTCTAGCACCTGCATAGAAAATGGGTAACATAACTTCATCAGTCAAACAAGTGGATCAATACATTGATATCAATTAATGTGACCGATAAAAGTACAATGAAGGATGTGTACAAAATTAAAGGACTTTGTAGTGCGCACAAATGGAGGAACCATACTCATTACTCTCTCTTTCTCACACGGACAAAATCCCTCACATGGGTAAAAATTATCAACAAAAACATAACTAAAATATACAGTATAGTAGTTTTTAAACAAGACATGTCTGAGATCAGGTAATTAAAAGTATCAAAAGGAGCAGCCTAGCCCTATTAACTTGTTAAAGGCTTGCTCTGGAGCCAATGTTAGAGGTGCAAACCTCAATAACAGCTAGGCACACTAACAATTTGGGAGGAGGTTTGCATAACATTGCTGCAACATAGGATGGTCCAAAAATTAAGTAAATTTACAAAAAGCCCATCGCAAACCATGTGAATGCAATAAACTTTTTAACAGCATAAAGAGTCATTTATACCTTTGAACAGTCAGCTACAGCCTTCTTATACTCCCCAACCTCTTTATAACAAGAAGCCCTACATGATAAAACCTCCATGATGCCAGCCTTATCATCTGTCTTCTCAAAAAGAATCACTGCCCAGGATAGCCACTTAATGGCATCAGCATACTGGCCTTGCTTCTGATTGTCGATGCCCTTGTTCTTAGCAGAAGATGCTGTGACCCCAGCCGGTGGAGGAGGAAGCCCTTCAAGCTCAGTTGTTGAACCACCTCCATCAGTTCCTCCTGCTCCTCCAAACTCAGAGTCCAACCCCCAATCATCAACTCCCGAAAATTGCTGCCCTCCACCTCCACCAGATGCTTGGGTAGCAACGCCAGCTGATGCTGAAGATGATGAAAAAAACATATCCAGAGGATCACCACCCGAGCTTTGGACAGATGGCTGACTTTGAGATACAACATTCTTTGCAGGCATCCCAAAATCATCCATATTCAAACCAGAAGCCATATTTGACCCCATAAAATCATTATTACTCGAACCAAAACCACTAGATGGAAATGTAGTTGTGGTTGGTATTGAAGCATTCTGAAAATCTCCAAATCCATCATCCGTGACATTCGCCTTATTTCCTTTATTACTTCCTGAATTAAGACTACCTGATGGTTTCGATGAAAAATCAACCAAAGAACTGAAAGGGTCCTTCTTCAAACCAATCCCACTTCCAACTCCACCAGCTCCTCCAGCCATACTTTTCATCGAAGGACCCCCAAGATTCTGACTCTTACTATTATTAACATTGACATTAATATTACTAAGACCACTGGTATTATTATATCCACCATAAGTTCCCCAATTTCCACTACTTTTTGGCAATGAATCAGCCAAATTCCCCATTGAATACGGGCTTCTAATTGAAGAATTAGAAGTAGGATTTGAATTTTTCAAAGGAACATTAGAATTACTATTACTCTTACCCTGTCCCAAAGCAGAGCTAACCAAATCTCCAAACAAATTAGGGCTGTTGTTAACAATTCCAACACCAGAACTATTACCCCCTGAAGGACCCGAAGAGGCCCAGCCCTTCCCAAAGATGTCTCCCACCATGGAAGTGGGTCCAGATAACCCGGATTGGTTGACCTGATTTGAGGCGGGTTGGTGCGTCCTTGAGGGCTTGTTGAGTTCCCACGCGGGCTTCGATTGTGCAGCTGATGTTGCTGTTGATGAATAAGATGAAAATGAAGAGATGGTTTTGTTCTTTTGGTCGTTGAGGGATTTGGGTCGGCCTGACCCGAGGCCGAGATCAAAATCGAAGGTTTTTAGCGAACCTGATGAACCCCTCCCGTAATTCGAGTTCATGGTTTTTGCAAATGTGTGGATCTAAGCAGAGATTAACTGATCGGATCGGATTTTATCGAGATCGTACCTTTTCAAAATGGGAACTTGAGTTTAGGCGCTGAGGGTGGTCGTGGCGGCGGCGGCGGTGGCGGCAACGTGCTCCTTGGCCTTATTCGAGGGAGAGCGAAAGAGAGTTCCGGTGAGGGAATTTGATGTGTCTGATTTGATTTCGGACAGCAAAGAAGGCTTTGGATCCTGAAATCTAATTTTAGCATGTGACAGGAAAGCAATTTCCACATGGTTAGGAGGGTCAGTTTTGTAAAATCGTATTAACTGAAGTCATATACCTATTATGTGGGGTATAAAATATAAAAATTGTTGTATCAAATTTATATCGAGATTTTAAACACAAAATTTCTTTTAATTTTATTTTTTATATTATATTATATTTAAAATTATTATATCTTCTTTAATTGTTACATATAATTTGTCGGTAAATGTCGTATTTTTCACTTAAAAAACAAGTTCAATTTTTTTTCTTTTATAAGAAGTGTTAAGTTCTCTACTCGAAACACGTCCATGAAAGCTTAACAGCATCGTATTAGAAGTCATTAGCAATAAATCAAACACGTTTGTCTTTGTGAAAATATATTTTGTCTTTGTTTTATTTCCCCCATTTTGTGATTAACAAGATTATTCTTACCTCTACCATTATTCCCTTATAAACAAGGTGGCAGATGGTAAAAAATTTTTGTGCCAATTTCTTCTGTCTCCAACTACAACTACTTGATGCAATAGAGTCTTGATGTTTGGTCTTGAACACCACAGTATCCATGTCTTAAAGAATGTAATAACGATACTTCACCCCAATCAACACAGGAATGCAAGACACTCCGTACGCCACATACACAAAAGCATCACCTCCAAAGCCCTTCTTCACTTCCTTCCGATTCCAACCAAAAACCAGTACAACTTTGACAGGGCATTTGAAACCAATGGATGCTACATATTCCCATTGATGGTAGCATTTGGCTATAGAGACAGGCTCATTATAGTCTCAAATTCAATGAATCTTAAGCCAACAGTTGTAGTTAAAACCCCCTTCCCTTTCTCACTCCACCGAATCCTTTCTAGACTTTCTTGTAAGTTCTAATCACCACCATAAAAGGAAATCAAAATGTTCTTTCATTCAGGTAAATGCAAACCAAGGTCAAAGAGAGAGGAGGTGCCATTGGAAAAAGGGCCCACCTACCTTCAGATTATTATCACTATAAAACCCTGTTTTGGAGGATTTCTAGCTTAAGGTAACATGCCCTTTCTTAATGCACATAAAAATTTAACGGGTCTTGTAACTATGAAGACATGGGCAATGGCCGAAGGATTTAGAAGCATTTTATCAATCATGCACAACTGAGTATTTGTGCAAGATCCAAAGGCAAAAACAATAGCAATTTGTAATCAGTCTCTTTTATTGGTTTTAATGCAATAGCTCGGCCACACAAGCATTTTAAAATCTATGAAGAAAAAGAAAAAGAAATACCTAATGGAAAAAGGGACGGTCAGATTAAAAGAACAAATAAATCATAGCTTATCTAAGTTGCAATACGTATTAACCAGCTATGCATAATGTAACAGCAAATTTTCACGTTTCCAACTTTCATAAAGATGCTAGATAAAAATGCATAACCATTAACCAAAGTATGTTAATGTGACATAAGAGCAAGAGCAGAGTCATCACCATCAAACAAGATATGTGGGAAGAGTTTATTTGGACAACAGGACTAGCAATAAAACCTAATTAAGGTATCTACACTTTCAACTCATGGGCATTCTTCTTGTTAAGTTCCCTTCATCAAGGAGAAACCTTAGCCTCCACACAGAACCAAACAAAAGGAAGTTGATGATGGTGGTGGTGACAGGTTGTTCCTCGCTGTAGTCTCCAATGGCTATCTTCTTATATGCCTTTCACCCCGTCCACGAACCCTGCTACCAGATGGCTGCACTGAACCTGAATATTGTGGCCTATGGATGACTTTCCCATCAACAAACAAATCCCCTGATAATCAAACCACAAAAAGATAAGATAAACAATGTCAAACTCAATGGGAATTCAATAGAACAAAGAAGCAAACTTATTCTTTATATCTCAAATTCCAAAAAATTCCCACCTCCATAATCTTTGTTTGGAACATCAAGATACGAATCCGGTAAAACCCAAAGTACATGAGGTAACCCTATAAAGCAGAGAGTCAATGAAAAATATCAAGCCAATTGTACTGAAAAGATATATTTTAGAACAAAATAATCAATTATACTAACAATTTAGTACAAAAGATCTAACCTTGGAAATTTTAAAACCCTAAAACTGCTCTGAAGACATTATACTATGTCTTTACAACAATGAAAATCTAAGTTAAATCTTAAATTATTCCATAAGCGCTTCAAAACAAAGAAAAAAAAAACCCTTTAAACCCCAAAACCCTAATAAATGAAATACCTTTAACTTTATAAGACAACTCCTCAGAAATCAATGCACCAAACCCTGTATACCTCGTCGTACAAACCGAGTATATCCTCTTCTTCGCTTCCTCTTCACTGTTAGAAGAAAACCCAATTCTCAAATTGAAAAAAAAAAGAAAAAGAAAAAAACCCAAGAAAAAGGAAATTTCAGTTTTTTTTAACCTGCCAACAACAGAAGCTAGCGTTTTGACATAGGCATAGATCATTTCTTCTTCAGAAGGCTTTGGGTCTTCTGGGAACTCCAAAACAATAAGCCAATGCTCATAATCGCACCCGTCGAGAAGAATCGTTTCTTTTGGAGGTCTGTTGCTCCAGTTCGGAGATGGGTCGTTCAAAGGCGAGTAGCCGGACCCTGATATCTTGGTCCGGGTCAGGATTTTGACTGTGTTTGGGATAAAAATAGGGGAGTTGTTGAGGAGAGCGAGGGCTATGCGAGAACGAGAAGAGAGAGAGGAAGAAGCAGAAGCAGAAAAGAGAGTGCGGGTTAGGAGAGTTGCTAGAGAGCGTCGGGCATTGAAGTAAGCCATTTTCGGCGACAGAGGCTGTTGTCAGTCTCTGTTTCTGAGTCCGTTCCTTGTTTGTGTTATAAGGCAGGGCAACACTTTAAACGACGTCATGTGGTTGATCATTGTTGTGCTCTTCCTTTTTCATTTTAAAAAAAATTATTTTATAGTAATATATTGAGATTGGGACAAAATTTATATAAAATTCTTTTAGTAAAATTTATGAAATATTTTTATAAAAATAATTTAATAAAAATTTTAATAAAATTTTAAAATGATAAAGTTTAATGTGAAAATTAATAATATGTAAAAAAATTATTATTTATAATTTAAATTTGATTAATATTTATTTAATGATAAAAATTTTTGTCATTTTTTTATTAAAAATATCTATTTAAAAATATATCAAATTTTTTCAAAATTTATATACTTGATCCATGTAACAAAACTTTTTTATTTATCGATTTTAATTTTTGACTTTTTAATTTTTACTTAATCATTTTTAATAAGAAATTTCACAAATTTATTTAAAAAACATTATCTAAGTCTTTCTCTTGAGATTGTTTTTTTTTTTTTAAGCCTTAAGTACTTATTAGTAAAATAATTTGATTTATCAATTGTCGTGGTATTTTGATAAAATGCTGAATTTTTAATTTCAACAATCAAAATTTAAGTTTTGATAGTTTAAATATAAAAAATAATTTGACTTGTAAGCAGAATAACTATACAAAAAACTTAAATTTTAAAAAATATTTTATGGTTCAAATGTCATATAGCGCCATATAATAGATTGCATTTCTTGACTAGAATTATGAAGAGTTTCTAAATGTTCAAAGTAAAAGAGAGACTAACGTGAAATTTGCACTTAAGGGGGACTGAGTTAATTTTTTATGCAGCCCAAGAATCTAAACAAGTCAGTGGCCAAGCCAATCTACCACTTTGTACACAGAAAATTTGACCTAAAACCTAGAATTAATAACTTGTAAGCCATTAAGAAACCCTTTCGTGCTCATCCGGCCTTGCCTAGGACTGTCGGGCACTACATAGTTCAGACTTATGTTAACAAGTTGAACGTTTTCGCAAGGGACCTCAGAGCTGCACAGTAAAGTTATTGCAGATCTGGTGTTGTAGGTGCCATTGATGTTTCTTACGAATATGTCTGTAAGCTTCACAAGTGATGGCTGCATAGCCAGAAACAACAAATCAATTGGTTTGCTAAAGGGAAACTTGTTTTAGTGTATATAAATTGGATAGATACTTACTTCACTAGTGTTGCAGCTATGTGAAGGACAGTATTCTTGATCTATAATTATGGGGTTGGAGACATTGATCATAAAAATATCTTCAAATGTCATGTTGGAAGCTTTGCTTGGAGGGGCTCCAGGCCATGTCTTGACCCTGATGCCGTTTTGTGTGCCTTTGATGGTGCAGTTCTGCACGCTGATCCCAACCACATCCTTCTCATTTTTATATTTGCCAAGGCTTCCCACACTGTCATTTTTGCAGAAGTTTTAGGAATCAGGAGTTGCGAAATCTTGTTAGTGCTGTAAATATAGGCTACCTAATTCCGTGGCCTGGACCGCATTGGACATCAGAAATGGAGATGTTGCTACTACCAGGTCCAATGGAGACACAATCATCACCTACTCCAATTGTTGAAGAAAAAATGTTTATGTTAGAGGAGTGACTGACATGGATGCCATCTGTGTTTGGGCTTTCCTTAGGAGCAGTAATGTTGACATTGTAGATATTGATGTGGTTGCTGCCATGGAGGCCTAAGTGGAAGCCCTTGCTGTTTGACAGAGTGATACCGCTGATGGTTGCATGTGAAACATTGATCAAATCCATTGACTGCGTGATGAAGTATGGAGATGTCATGCCATTGCCTATTGTATAGACAATTTTGAGTTTCAGTAAACTTGTAATAGAACTTACTGTGATTAATTTCTTACATCTATCTGATTTCTCACAGCTAAACTGTTTCCAGGCTTCTGCTGCTCCTTGGCCATCTATATTTGCTGTTTCATTTTCCCCTGTGACAATGAATCCCTGCAAATTTTTAAATGCAATCCAGGTGGAGGATTTAAATGCACTAAGGCTAATTGGAGCCAATAATGTTCCCCTGATCTCTACATTAGGTGACCAGTTGTTATAGCAGGGGCCTGTAAATGAGATTGGGCCAACCAGGTATCTTCCTTCAGGTATGTAAAAGGTAGATTTCCCTGCATAATCACACGCAGCAGTCCATGCAGCAGAGAATGCCTTTATAACCAAAAGAAACAAAGGAAGTTATTACAACTACATTTGCAAGCTGAAATTTTATATCATAAAACAAACGATCATCTATAGGTGCCTGAATGTGTATGTCATTGTGAAGTCATTAACTCTAGACTTCAGAGTGTGGATTTGCTTCATCTCCATTGACTGTTTACTTCTGCATTAGGAAATGAGATGCGTTTTCACTCAGGGATTTATCTTCTCTACTTTATCAGAGAGCTTAGCTTATGCCTTTTTTTAATTGTCTTATCAAACATTCACTTGTGAGATCCGAAAATGATACCTGACAATAAAATCAGATCAGAGTAAAACATGAAAATTAAGAAGTACAAACCGAGCTACTTTCTGTCCCCCCACCAGCCACCGCCCCATGCTCAGTGATATCAAAAACTCCATCCTTAGGTGCCTTACTTGTTTTCGGAGAGTCAGCTGATGGTGTGGGAGCCGGTTCAGGTGAAGCAGCTTCATGTGCTGGAGGAGAAGGGTTGGGTGAGCCACAGGTTTGGCAGGGAGGAACTGTTTTTGGAGATTCAACTGGTTGAGTGAGAGCTGGTTCAGGTGAAGCAGCTTCAGGTGCTGGAGGAGATAGGTTGGGTGAGCCACAGGTTTGGCAGGGAGGAACCGTTGCCACCACAATGCTTACATGAAAAAATGCTATAAAAACTGCTATATCTCTCATGCTGAATGTCATCATTCTCTATGCTAGGGCTAAGTTAAATCTTTTTTACTTCTTTGAGACATTAGCTGATCATCTTCACAGCTTTTTATTTTGGTACTTATAAAGTGTCAGTGATATATGAAGTTTACCAAACTCCATACACTTAATTTTTGATGCTTTTGGTGACCATTTTGCTATAAATGTTAGGAGGAGTTTTCTTTCTATTTATAACTGCTTTGAGGTAAACTTCAGTTCTTTTACCTGTTCTTTTAAATTAATTTCATTCATTACTTCAACTCTTTAAACCTTGGCAGACATAAAGGGACAGGTTCTTCAGCTTTTTAAACTGATAACATTATGAGAGTTCAAATGCCTAATATTTGTATTTACTCTGTGATCATAACTTTCAACCGTTCTTGTTTTGCATCCTTACCTTGATTAATGCACACTGGACCAAATGTCATTCAGTACAAAAACACTTAGATGAAGGCGGTTGCCGAGCTTGTAATTTAAGTGAGAAATTTAGCCGCACCATCAGCTGGATGTGGTTAACCTTGATAAACATTGATTAGAAAGCCTCAATGGGTTGGTACGTAGCAAGAAAAAAGAAAAAAAAAAGTAGGCACCTGAAATGTGAACTAACTGCTAGTCAGGACAGCTGCATGTTATTCTTCATACTTCTTGCACAAAGTTCTAAACATAGGAACTGATATTTCTTCAGGAAAATGTTTAGGGAGATAATGGAAAAGAGGGGTGTTCTATTCATATAGTATTTTAAATTCTAGAGCTATAAATCTTTAGACATATGTAGTTCTTGTCGAATATGTATACATAGAGGTTTGAATTTGATTTCTTGAATATGAATACGTATAGGTTTGAATTTTATTTCTTGTAATTTCATTTTGTCTGAATAGGCAACAGGCAAAATGGTTCAATCCGCACTATGACAATCTGCTATAGATTGAAAAAGTTTTTCATAAGTAAGCAGATATTTTTGATCAAAACTTTTGTATCCATTCGTTTTGGAATTATTTTATACTTTAGTTCCAGGGATTACAATTGGATCAGATGCTCTTGACATCAATATAGAACACTAGATCCACTGCTTTTTCTCTCTTACAAATATACTATATAATACCATCAATTCCTTAATTCACAAGGAAAGAATTGTGGTTTTGATTGCTGTAAGTGCCTAAGGGCAAGCGGGAGGGCTTTGGGAACCAACGTAGGCAACTTTTGCATTCGAACAGCTAGAACTGAAAGGCAGTTTGTCCATTGGAGGACCATCGTACTCCAAGTTGACATTGTTCATGTTAATGCCTTGGCAAGGATTCGATGTACTGCAAAGTAGAAGGACTGCAATTTTGCTAGTTGAAGTTCCCCTGATGTTTTCGTATTGGACGTCGCTGATGCTTACTTTCGATGGCTTCATGAAACAAGTAAAAGCTGAATTTAGTCACTGTCCAATTTAGATTTGATGGGAATTTGTCAAAATGATCAAGGGGGAAAAGAAAAATAACCTGACTACTTTGCCTGTTTCCATATTCTTGATCTATGATGATTGGGTTCCGAACTCGAGTCATGATGATGTCTCGGAACACTATGCCTGAAGCTTTACTTGGGGTTTCAGATTTGTATGTTTTGATTCTAACTCCATTGTCTGTGCCATATAATGAGCAGTTCTGCACGGTGATCCCGCTAACATCTGCCTCAACATCGTAATGGCCAAGGCTGCCGATACTGTTAATAAACATGGACGGGCGGTACTTTTAACTTTGACTGCTTGATTAAGAAGACGGTGAATAAAATGCCTGAGGGAAAGGAAAGCATTTACCTGAAACCATGGCCTGGGCCACAAGTTACTTTCTCGATGGTGATGTTGGTGGATCCTTGGATCATAGAGACACAATCATCTCCGGTGGCAATGACACTGTCGGATATTTTTACTTGGTTCGATTTGCTCATGTGAATACCGTCAGTGTTGGGGCTACTTCCAGGGGCTTGCAAATCAAGGTTGAAAAGCTCGAAGTTTTGGCTGTTGCTTATCATGACGTGGAACCCTTTGGAGTCAATGGTTTTTATGCCATGGATGATTGCATTGTTTACCCTGATGAATTTCAATGTCTGCATTGTATACCGGAAAAGTAACCTCATCATTTAATTATTTTGTTCAGTTTATAAAAATCATAAAAATTTCAGGTGGTGATTTGAAGCTTACAGCTGGCAGACGGACGCAGTTGGGCTGGTTGCCACAGTCATGGTTCTTCCATACCTCAGCACCTTGGCCATGGAAAGTACCTTTTCCAGAAAGAATCAAGCCGTCAATGCCTAGGAACGTGATCCAGTCTGAAATATCTCCTCCAACTCCATAGTATGAAAGACCAGCTTGTGCTTTGACCATTCCATTAGCTTGAATGATTAGAGAAGATGGATTCAAGCACGGTCCTGAAAATATGACCGGTCCTATTAAGAAGTTCCCTTCAGGTATGACCATCATAGCATTTCCATTGAAATTGCAGGCAGCCTTGAAAGTCCTGATAAAATTCTGTCAAGAACCACAATTCAATGCACCGTGATTAGTTTAATCAAACAAAAGGGGCCATAATTTATATATAAACGAAAAATGAAACGAGTGTACTTTCAAAGGTAAACCATACAATTGAGCTATCCGTCGTTCCATCAGCCTTTGCACCATATTCCAACACATTAAAAACTTTGACATCAGGGTTTACTTTGCCGAGAGCCACATCTATGGCTTTAGCTAGAGCCTCTGCTTCATTAAATGTACCTATGCCCTCGCAACCACAAAAAACTAAGCACAAGAGAAGAACGGCGCTTATTCGAGATATTGTGTCGAATGCCATTGTTGCTACCCTTCAACCTGAGCTATTTATTTATTTATTTTTTTTTTCTGTTTAAAAGTTTAAAAGCCTCTACAGTATAGAGGCTTAACAATGCCTTTGATGGATGCCTTGTTTCCCTGTTCCCTTCTTTATACCTTTTCAGCCTTCAAACAAGATCAACTATTACCACTAACGTTATTTGTGGCAGGACTGGATTGTCGGAAGAATTCAGTTTTGTGGTTTCATGTTGGGTTGACTTTGTTACTAAATATAGCTTTATATGACTTTGAAATTCTAATTGGGGCATGTTAAAAACGTTAAATATAGTAAGTTAAATCAATTTGCATCTAAAAGTTTGTCGAAGAAGCTTTGATCTCACGGACTAGGTGTCATGGAGTATGAAACCAATGCACTGTTCCAAATAAAAGACAAAGCAAGTAATTGATTCACAATAAAGGATCATAACAGCATTTTACATAGCTATATCAAAGATCAAGAAAAATACATATTTTGAAGCACCAGTATTGCCATGGAAGCAGGTCTTTATTTTCTTATCCCTATCGTCATCAACCACAGTATAGTAAAAGAGCAAAGATAGGCATTAATAATAAGGCCGACGAAGTAGCTTATTTTTGCTATAATCAATAACAATCGTCCCACCATAGAATTGAGCTGCCTCATTGCTGCTAACAACGGACTCTTTTGCAATAGAAACTTGGGGTCCTCCCTCAATACGCCGTCCACCAGAACATTGATGCTGAGATGTTCCAAGGTAAATATTGGTGACAGGCTCTTTTGTCACTGTATAAACTTGGGGTCCCTCAGAAACACTCCGTCCACCAGAATATTGGTGCAGAGAAGTTCCACGGAAATTGGAAACAGCCTCTTTCGTCACTGTATAAACTTGGGGTACTTGGCAAACGTAAGACTGTTGATGCTGGTAGTAAAAATATTGGTAATGACTTTGGTGTACCTGTGGCTGTGGACATTGAAGTCTCAGGCTCTGGTTCGACCTTCTAGTCCGGCCATAGCATTCGTCTATTAGCGCAAAACCTTCCGACCCAACCTTCATAAGCTGCTGCTGATCTCTCTGAGATGCCATTCACAAGATAATTTTGCTCACTTTTATGTAACAAGTAGACTTGGTTTGCCTTGTTTGCTTGGGAAAACAGGTTAGTGGCCAAGCCCCATTTTATACAGAAGCCAAGTGATGAGCTGAACCTTCCTAGTTATTTACCTAGGTAGGGTGTCTGGAATAATTTTAAAAACAAAATGAAAGCACATCTTTTTCTTTGAATATACAATAATGAAAATGGGAAGTCGGTTTCCCAATTCCAAACTTTTTTGATTCCATTTGTGATTATACATGTAAATAATGAAATGGGAAAAGCCATATGACCAAAGAAACTTCCTAGCCCCTTGAGGTTTTAATTTTGCACCTGTGGAGGAATAAAATTTTCTTTGAATTAACTTTAGTTGCTGTCTTCTTACCAATGTGGGGTTGCCTTAAACGCATACTCAATTGGGTAAAACACTGCTTATAGTAAATTAATGATTTATATTTTAACTCAATTGATTTAATTATTTTTAAAAGATGACAACTCTTATTTTTAAGTCAGACGACAATATTT